CCCCCCCGCAATTTAGGTCTCTTCGAAGGCTGCTTTTCATGGCGCGAATGAAATACATATTTTCCTGGAACAACGGGGGAAAAAAATCTAAAAGCCCTCACAGGTTTGTATCTGACGTCCCGAGTGATGTTTGTAAAACAACAGAACGACAATGGCTGCACACAAAATGATGCAACTAACTATAACACAATTCGAATCTAAACACGCGCTCATATGACCTTTTGTAAGTTGCTAGTACTGTAACACTTTAACCAACCTGGATCGAAACATTATCGTCATATTGCCCGATTAAGTTGTTGAACACCGAATGTAATGATGAAGTGACACCTACCTCCACAATTTCCCAAGCGTCTTGCTAAGCTCGGCGTTGTGTAGATGCGGGTACTGGTCGGCCAGTTTTCTCCTCGCTGCCTGGGCCCATACCATGAAAGCGTTCATGGGACGTTTAATGTGCGGCTTCCTTTTCTCGCCGTTCTGGTTCCGGGCTGGTGTGGTGACCAGCGACCAGTCGTAGCCTTCAAGGACATGCGAGACCGCCTCCTGTATCTGCTGCGAGAACCTCGGGTCGTCTGCTCCAATTCCCGCCAAAGGACCTCCTGGCAAGCCGCCATGTTTTTTGCTCCCATGCGGGCCCCCAGCGCCGTTTCCGGAAATGGGTATGGTACATGGGATCTCGATGGTCAGTTTCCCTTCAGAAGGCTCACGACTGTAAGGCGCGGTGAGAGCTGATGAGGTCATTTTTGCGACCGTTGAAGTGGATGAACAGGAGGAGGAGGAGGAAGAGGAGGTGGACGAAGAAACTTTGGAGGAGGTGGGGCGGGGTGAACGACTGCGATCTCTACTGTCGTTCATGACGATGAGAGTTTTTCTATGACGTCATGCGCTCTGAAGTTACGGCGGCAAGTGTAAAATATTGTTGGTCAATGCTGGTTTCCTAAGAATGATGTTACCACGAGAAAGAACACCTGTGAACATATTGATAAACAGAGATAAAGAGTTGAAGAGTGGTTATCATAACTGAAAGTGAAAGCATTTACAACGGAAAGCGTGCATTTGAAATATGTTGAAAACAGCAATTGTTTAGAAAAGAAAAAAACCCAACCAAACTATCAACCAAGCAGTCAAAAAGAAACCAAATTCAGGAGTACCTATGACAATAATAAGTAAAAATTTTTAATGTGGATTTTCTAATGCCGAAATCGACATTATCTATCTTTTAGGAGACATACAATACACAATGACAATGAAAGCAACAACAACATTAAACAAATATAATTATTATTATTATTATTA